GTGGGTGGCCCCCACCCCGGACCCGAGCATGGGCCAGACCACGGAGGGGCCGGCCTTCTGGAAGCTGCTGGGAGCTGGGCGGAGTGTCCCCCGGCTGCCGCACCTCCCTTGAAAGCTGGACTGAGCCCTTCCCAGGCTGCCCCGCTTCATGCTGACCGCCACCCTCCTCAGCGCAAGGGTCTTCCTGACCCACAGCAGCTGGCCCCGCTCTCTTGGAGCACAGCATGGGCACCTCTCGGGGGCAGGTGCCCCCAGCTCTGTCACCCTCAGTGCTGGCTCCGTCCTCGCCAGGCCTGGGAGGACCTGCTGGACGGAGCTTCCTGGGGCTGCTGGGACAAATGGCCACAAGCTTCATGGTTTAAAACAACACACATTTATTCTCTCACGGTTCTGGGAGTGAGGAGTCTAAACCCAGGGTCCTGGAGGCCCCGGCAGGTGTCCCTCGCTTTCCAGCTCCGAGAGGCCCCTGTGCTCCCGGCCTCTCCTCCCTCCGCAGCAGCCCAGCGTCTTCCAGGCCCTGTGTCCCGACCTCTGCTTCTCCCTCGCGTCACCCCGACTGTCACCTCCTGCCTCCCTCCTGCGAGGGCCCTGTGACTCCATTTAGGGCTCACCCAGATAACCAAGGTCATCTCCCATCTCAAGGTCCGTCACTGAGTCACACCTGCGAGGTCCCTGTCACCACGTGAGGTAACACGTTCCACATTCGTAGGTTCTGGAGACCAGGATGTGGGCCTTTTTGGGGAGAGGTGTTGTTTGGTCCACTCCATAGGGAACATTCCAGCAGCAGACCAGGCTGGCTTGTAAGAGGCCCTTCACAGCCTCCTCCTCAGCAGAGCTGTGACTGTGGTTCTGGGGGGCCGTCTCCTGTCCCCACACCCCCTTGCCTGAGGGGAGCTGGGGTACTGGTGTCAGGAGAGGCAAAGTTGGGGTCCAGTCCGCTCTGCATGGTTTAGGTTCCCAAGAGAGCGGGAGCTCGGCCCTCACAGCCTGGGAGGCCCGTGCCCAGGGTCCGGGTGGCCCTAAGGCCAGGCGGTGAGGGTCAGTGGGGAGAAGGGGGAAAGCTGGACTTGAGCTCGGGTCATCTTTATCTGTTGCTTTTTAATTGAGGGGAAATTCACACAACATGACAGTAGCCGTTTTACAGTGAACCGTTCAATGGCGTGTGGCACATTCGTGGTGTTGTGCAGCCTCCACCTCTATCTCGTTCCAGGACATCTCACCCCCCCGATGGAGGCCTGGTTCCCATCAAGTGGTCGGTCTCCGCCCCCCTCCCCCCAGCCCTGGCCACTGCTATCTGCGTCTGTCCCTGCGGATCTGCCAGTTGTGGACACTTAATGAAAACGGAATCGCTATGGGTGGCCTTCTGGGTCTGGCTTCGCTCACGTGTTTTCCAGGGTCACCCACGCAGCAGTCTGTATCGTGCCCCCTTCCCTCTGCCATACGGGTACAGGGCCACCCGGTCATCAGCAGATGGACTTTGGGTGGGTTCTGCCTTGCACTTGGGCACAAGTGTCTGTCTGAGCCCTGGTCTCCTTTTCTTTGGGCACGTACGTACCTGGGGCGCAACCGCTGGCCCAGCCGGCTTCACTGTTTGAGGAGTGGTCAGAGCGTTTTCCACAGGGCCGCATGGTCCACACCCCACCAGCCACGCGCGAGATTCCGATGTCCCCACATCCACACTGACACTTGTTCTTTCCTGGTTTCTGGCTTTGGCTGTGTCGCCGCCATCCTGGTGCGTGTGGGGTGGTGTCTCACCGTGGTTCTGATTTGCGTTTCCCTGGTGACCAGTGAGGCTGAGCACCTTTTTGTGGGCCTGTTGGCATCTGCAAGTCTTCTTTGGGGAGATGTCCACTTGAGTCCCTGCCTGATGCCTCACTGGGTGAGCTGGGCTTGTCTCACCAGAGGGGCCGTTGAGCTGTCTAACAGTTGACTGAGGCATTCACTCCCTCCCTTCCTCATTCACTCGATCTCTGCATGGAGAGACCTGACTGTGAGGGAGGGAGATCCCGGGGTGTTCCCCCTCCCCCATGTCCCTGAGCTGACACCACAGCCTCAGACCCCCACTGAGGCCACCAGGCACCACCTGGGGGGGGCCACGGCCCCACCTCCCAGATGAGGAAATCAGACAGAGTCACCTCTCACACCCCCATGGCACTGGCACGCAGGCCAGGGCTCCGAAAGGCCCCCTCCTCCACCGTGACGGGCTCAGGCCTCTAAGGGGGAGTGAAGCTGGAACCAGGCTCCGGTGGGGCCTTCCCGGGCACTGCACCCGTCTCTCTTCCGGCTGGAAGGCGTGATGCACGTGAGGGCTGGCTGCTGGGTCCCAGCCTGGCTTGGCCCACCCGCCTAGCCTGCACCCTGGGGACAGTGCTTCAGGAAATGCTCTCAGCCAGAAGCCACTGCTCCCAGGGGTGCACTCACCACTCCATTACTGTCCTCACGCTTCCAGGAAGCGCTGCTCTCCGGCGGGCCGCTCCGCCCCTGCCCAGCTCACAGGGTCCACCCCAGGCAAGGTGCCCTGCAACCCAGACACCGCGTGTGCCTCCGCTCACCCGATTCCCTGGCCAGGCCAACCCCTGGGGGCCCCCCTGGCCTTGCAGCAGGCTCTGACCAGAGCCAGCCTTCTCACCGTCAGGTGCCTCCTGCTACAGGGGGCAGGGACGTTTCTGTGCCATCCAGGGTGGAGGGTCCCTCCTCCGGGAGGCTGCAGGACTGCACCTGCCCTCTCCTTTCCTCTGTGAAAACTTCTTTCCCACCCCACTCCTCCTTCCCAGGAAAGGCACCCTACTCCCCTGGGGTCCCCCCACCCGTTGCCCCCCTCTCATAACCACCTCCACTCAGTCAGCAGATCCTGTGGGCAAACTCGCAAATTGACGCCAGCCAGAGACCCAGTGGTACCGCACTACACCGCAGTCTCACTGGTCCGAGTGGTCAGCCTGCTGGCCTGGGGCTCCTGACAGCTCAACCAGCTCTACCCTCAGCCCTGTAGCTTTCCCACCAGAGTGACCATGTCCTTGCCCAGCCGGCCATCTGCCCGTCAGCCCCCGGCCTCCTTGCTGTCCCCGGACAGGCCAGCCTCCCACCTCCAGCCTGTGTGCTCCTCCTCAGACACTGGCCTGCCGCTCCTCTGACATCACGTGAGCCACCGTTCAGCCCCCACAGAGGCATCGCTTGACCTCTGACCTACACCACCGCCCAGGCCCTGTCCATCCCTCCGCAACGGGCCTTCCCAGAGCTCCGGGCCACGCAGCGCTGCCAACAGCCCGTGTTGAGTGCCGCATCCCTCAGTGCCCAGCACAGTAGCCGCTGCTCATGTGGGGCTACTGAAACCAAAATTGACTAAAGTAAAGCAAATCAAAGATCCGGTGTGCGGCCAGGCTAGCCTCGTTTCCAGGTCTCAGCAGCCACGTGTGGCTGGGTGCAGTGCCTTCCAGCAGAGCAGGCTGGGCCCCACGTGGCTGTGACAGTGAGATGGTCCTCGGGGGTGAATGAATGAGGAAGACGGGCTGTTGGGGCTCCTGGCTGCTGCTTTACTCATCTGCACCCGTGACACGGGGTCACATCGCCTGCCACCTTTCTGAGAATACCCAGGAGGCCTGGCTGGGACCTTGGTGTCTGCCATGTCTCTCCAAAACCTGGTGGTCTCCATGGGTGGTTTGATCAGCGTCCGAGGCAGGGGATGTCGGATCTGTCTTTACCACCGTGGAGAGCGGCTTCTGGAAAGCAGCAGGGGCCAGACCGCAGCACTGCCCAGCTCTGCCACCAGCCATGTAACCTCAGGCAACTCAGCTCCCCTCTGAACGCTGCTCCCCCTTGGTAAAGTGGGGTAACAGGATACCCACCTCTTACTGATACTTGTAAGACCAACAGATAACCTACATAGGCGCTTCTGGAATGCCCGTAAATGCTGGTGTTGTGGATAAATGAATGGAGGGCTCTATCATCTGCCTTTGTCCTAGGGACCTTGGGGGCCTCTGGGGACCAAACACCCACACCAGCCCCCTGCCCCAGTCTGCGAGCGCTGGCTGCCACGACGAGGGCGATTATAGAGGTGATTTATAGCAGGGCCTGCCGCACACCCGCCCTCACCGCCTCGGAGCATCATTTACAGGAACCAGCCTCAGGGACAGGCCTGGCCAACGCCATGTCCCACTGCCCTTCCCTGCAGTTCTGCCCCTGCCCCGCCCACCGGCAGGCCCAGCCAAGGGGCCCTGGCCGCCTTATCCTTCCCGCTCCACCCCCTGCAGACAGGGGACAGGGGACAGGGGAGTGTGCGGGGAGTTCGGATGCTACCCCTCACATTGGCTGCTCTCCCACTGTCAGCTGGAGGCCAAATGGCTATTTGGTTTCCAGAAAAGTGCTTGGACAGGGGCAGCTTGAAATGTCTCAGGGTTCCGGGCCGGCCGAGTGGCGCGATGGTTTAAGAACTCGCTTGGGATGCCAGAGGGCCCCAGTTCGGATCCCACATATGAGGGCCAGTGACACTGCCCTCCACAGCTAAGATGCTGAACAACAGCTCAACCTGGAGCT